CGGTTTGAGTTCAGTTACGCCCGAAGGTGTATCTGAATCCCTCAAACCAAGGCTCTGATACCAACTTGTAACAACGTAAATTTTAAAACAAAATTTTCATTTTTGCAAATATCAAAAACCATCGTTTAATATTCCAAATTCAAATGTGAACAATGTTATCATAACAAAATACATCCCATGATCATAAAAATAGTTCCTCCGTCAGTGTGTACAATCACGCCGGCACCTTCCCACGGTCCTCGCTAGTACCTGAAACACATAACACAACAACTGTAAGCATAAATGTTTAGTGAGTTCCCCAAAATACTACTTACGCACATACGCCTTTCCAGGCCCTGACCTTCCGGTCCATGTGTCTCAGGGGACTTCCGTCCCAACTCAGTAAACCTTCCGGTCCTACCTGCGTCAACCTTACGGTCCACATCACAACGCCTTCCGGCCCATAACATAATGCCTTCCGGCCCATATCAAACATATCATACATAACACATAATAACGATTAACTTATCATTTACAATGCATATAACTCATAACATATCCGACCTTCCGGTCACACAATAAAAACCCTTCCGGATACAGTATAGTGAGAAAACTCACCTCGTGGAAAGTCTAAGATATCGCGTACTCGCTATCTCCAAATCCCAATGACGACTCTACCTCGCCTAATCATAAAAATATCATTTCAATAATTAAAGACTTCCACAACTAAACTTTACCCCTTATCATCATTCCTCAGAGGGTAAAAGACCATTTTACCCTTCCTTGACCCAAAGTCTTCATGTTGACCAAAACCCTAAAAGTCAACCAAAGTCAACCTTTTGAGTACGCGGGGCGTACTGCTTGATGTACGCGGGGCGTACATCGCCAACCCATGGATCGGGGTTTCCACCCAGTACGCTACACGTACTGGGAGTTACGCCCATCGTAACCATAAAACTTTAGCATACATCATTTCTGGTCTTAATCGGTTAAGCCATTACTCCAACTTCTAGATCCGACTTTGTTTATGCATCTATACCCATAAAGTCGAGACCTTTAAGCCTTGGCATGGCTGTAAAGGCTCCAACACTTCTTAACATCATTCTATTCCAACTCAAGGACCTAGATCTCATATAAACGTCTCAGATCGGGGTGCTTCTTAACAACATTCACGCATTCCAACTCAAGGACCTAGATCTCATGCATGGTGCTTTCCGCCCCACGGCTCAAATAGGCCAGAAATATGATTGTTCAGGCCACCGCCACTTCGACCTCAGTTGCTTAGTTCATGTTGTTTGACTTAGGTCTTGTGTTTTGAACATCGTGAATTCTTCATATGATCATAAATTTTAACAATATTTATATCCACACATTTATATTTAAGTGTACTACAATTTACGTTTAGAACTCCTGTTAAAAAATGATATATTGTTAGTATAATTTTATAAAAATAACGTCCATACATACATTAATAAAGAACATATGGATATAAATATCATATATAAAAATATATTACTTTTTAACGAGAGTAATCTTAACAAAATTTGTAGTAGACTAAAATACGAACGTTTGAATATAAAAATCGTTAAAATTTGTAATCGTATGAACAATTTACGATGTTCATAACACAAGAATTAAGCAACCAAACAACCGAGGTGTGATGACCATAACCATTAATAGCCTCCAACACCTTATTAATGATTGTGTCGAGTAATATGACGTGAGAAAACCATAAAGAAACAGTCATAAGTATTGAAAATGTACAAAAACAACTTATTTTGCAACCAAAAAACTTTTTTGGACTAACAGTGCAAGAAAATAATAATGGCTAAATGTGTACAAAGTGAGGAATATATTACATTTTTAAGTAATTTTTTCCGGCTTATCTGGAGTAGCTGGTCATAACGACTAAATGTGTACAGTTAAACAAGTTGAAGAGATAAATATGGACGTAAAAACTAAGTGGCCAAATATGTACAAATCAAAAAATATATTACTCTTTTAAGTCATTATCCCCGTAGAAAAACAACAATACTTTCATTTTCGGCCATTTCAAATGATTTACTTTTGTCGCGCGCGCGTGTGTGTATTACGAATTTTCGAAGTTTTTTATGTATTTTCGTTGAAGTTTTTTTTTTGAAAAAAGACAAAAAAAAAATAATTGATTTTTTTTTCAGCGAATTTCTAAAAAAACCTGCGATTTTTTGGTATATAAATTCAAAATATATATATATATATATATATATATATATATATATATATATATATATATATATATATATATATATATATATATATATATATATATATATATATATATATATATATATATATATATGGGGTGTCTAAGTATTTGTTTTTTGATACATTTTTATGATTTTTTTGGGTTTTTTTTTTTTTTTTTTTTTTTTTTTTTTTTGGTTTTTTTGGTTTTTTTTTTCTTCGTATAACACTTCCCTATAAAGAAAACAAATAATATTGCTATTATTGGATGGAAATAGTATAAAAATTAAAAATTAAATAAAATAAAATTCATCTTAAAGAATGTAACTTTACGATTCGGATTTTATCTTTACTATTATTTTGAATGGGACCAAGGGTGTTGATATATTCAAAGGATTTATGAAGTCCCATAACACTTTTATGGAGCTAAAAGTATAAAGAATTTCATGTACATCAATAATGCTTGATGGCGTTTCATTGTAGGGTATGCAAACCAATGAATGATAGCTCTTTCATCATATAAAATGTGAGGGTTTTTTATTTTTATTTATTTATTTTTCTTTGGATATTAATAAAAATAAGATAAAGTAATTATATATTTATATATTTATAATTGTTATCAATTATATTATACAGTGAAACAACATCAACTATCTGGTGACCTATCAAATAAGATATTGAAGTTTTAACTAGGAGTCGTGACAGATAAGATATTGTGATTTCAACCGAGAGTTGATCAAGATATGTGACATACACGACGTACTTAAGTTTTTTAGTGTTTTGTCCAAAGGGATAACTTTTTTTCTCCTTGCAAAATAGGAAGCCGTTTTGAGCGGTTGAGAACCCATGTTATAAAGTTTGATTATTTATTCATAGATATTGATAAAACAATTTAATTGTGTATTAGAAAGAGGTTCCTGTGAATTTTCTGACTGACCCGATAGAAGGAAGGTCAATCCTTAGACCGGCTGACGTTTTGATTTTTGGATGGGTCGGAGGGAAACACACATGTGTAGATCTTACATGGATATCCATTCTCATAAGCTTGAGGGTCGGGTGTTTCACGACGGGACAGACTACATTAAAAGTTGCTACATGCATGGTCACCAAACATGAGAAACCATGCATGGAAAATTAACATGCGTTCATACCATTTGAATTTGATACGTTTGGTTTTCTTGCGCCGGATGCGGTGGAGCTTCTTAGCAGACTACAACGGATCATGCATAAAAATGTTATATCTCCTAAATCTATGAATGTAGTCTTCAAAAAAAATTGATTTTACCATACAAAAGGGTTTAACGGCGCAACTTATTGTCTGTTTGCCTTTTCATTCGTTGTATGATGATAACTAAAATCGTATAATAAAAATAACCAACATTTGGTAATTTTTTTAAATATTTAATTACTTAATGTATTTAAATTCCTAGGTTCAAGAACGAGTTTTGAGTGATTTAAAGAATTTATGTTTTTTTCTTTTTAAGAAAAAACTAAAATTAATTTATTTTTTTGAAACATAAACTTAAAACTTTTAATTTAAACAAAAAATTTCGTAATTCAAAAATCATTTCAAGTAGTTTGAAAGCTATTAATTTTTAAGACCTTCTAATTTTAGATTTTATATAATTTTGTATATTTTAAAAAGTTACAATGACGATTAATCTAAACAAATAAAAATTATGATTTCTACCTTTTAGCTATAAGTTAGTTTCTCCATATATACCTAAAACTAATAATAAGTGGTTGTAATTGTATATATATATATTTAGATAATTTAATAAATTAAAATTATTTCAGATGAATCGTATGTTCCTTGAAATTTGGTGGACGAAAATAATTGCAATGCCTCGTTGATATTTTATTCCATACGTCATTAATATATATATATATATATATATATATATATATATATATATATATATATATATATATATATATATATATATATATATATATATATATATTTGACATTTTTTTATTAGTAATTTTGAAGCCATAAAACCAATCTGTTTTCGACGCGCTTGGAGCTTACTGAACAAACAGCAGCCGCTTATATGGTGTTGCTGGTGGGATCGGCAGCATCTCCGCCACTTATCTTCCTACATAATCCATTTTGTCTCCACGCGCCACCGATGTGCGAGCAAGCCATTCAAAATTTCTTCCTTGTTGCTGCATACAGAAAGCAAAGGCCAAATTGAACAAGGAGGTCGCCCACTAATTAACGTCAGTTTCGTGTCTTGTCGAGACGCCGGTGACGAAGTTAATACGACAAACGTCTCTGTGTTCAAGATAACCACTCAAAACGTCAGATTTGCAATATCTTAATCTCCTTAGAAACCTCGAAATTAAAAGAGCAACTGAAGCTGTTTAGGTTTTCGGATTGTGGGATTTTGTGGTTATGATCTAAGGTATGTGTGTTTCGTGATTTCAGTTGCATTCTAGTGATGTATAATGTCGTGAAGATGTGAAGTTTTTCAAGTTGCGATGCGATTTGTTACTTGAGTGGTTGAAAGTTGCCTTTTTAGGGGTCGTCTGACTGGCGTTCAATTAGGGTAACTGATGCTTCTATTGATTTTATATACATGATACATCACGCCCACTGAATTCTGTTGTTGAAATCAAAATGCTGCTTGTTAATTGCTTTACTTTCTATAATTTGTATGGTCTTCTAGCTTGTTAAAGTGATTGCTGTTTAACACTTTAGTCTGTTTGATGGGCTGTAGGTGTGATGGAGGAATGATGACATTCAAAAGTTCTGTTACGGAGTTTTGTTAAAGCTAACTTATGCTACTAAAGTTATGGAGACACAACACGCGTTATCCATTCAGAGATCAAGTCCAACACAACTTAGCAACCATGGAACAACCAGAGCTCTATCATCATCTTTCCCTGTTCATCATACCGCTGTGGAAGAGAAGCATCCCAAATTGTTGGACTCTCAACTGTCTTCAACTAATGGTACTGTTGGTCACATTTTTTCTTCGTCTTCAGGGACGTCTTCAGATCTTCACTTCTCTTCCATTTCTCCTAACGAAACTTGCTCCAAAAAAGCCCCTTTCATTACTCAATCCTCAGGAGTTCTTCGCTCTACAGCTTTCCGCCAGTATATGAAAGAAAACAACACGAGCTCTTGGTCTACAGATTCACTATCAGATTTTCTTGATTACCCTGAAAGTAGCCCTATTGAGCCAACTAATTTACAACCCACTCCCACTGACAATGGTTCTTGTGACCTCCCACCTGAGGATTTTGCCAAACCAAATGATTGGCAAGATTGGGCTGACCAGCTAATCACAGAAGATGATGCTACAACCCCAAATTGGAATGATATTCTCGTTGATACAGAGCCAAAGGTATCAATCACTGAAACTTTTAAAAGTTATGTCATTATTTATATGCTAACAACTGTTAGTTCTGTAAATAAAATTGTAAATTTTGTTTATTGAAGCTGGAACTTCCTGTGGGGGGATCATCCACAAAGTCAACGGAAGTCAAAAAGATGGTTGTTCCTGCATCATCTGGAGAGTTATGCAGCCCAATGACACCATCATCATGTGGGGGTGGGTCCCAATCCCAAAACAAGCCAAGAATGCGTTGGACACCAGAACTTCATGAAGCATTCGTGGAGGCAGTTAACAAGCTGGGTGGAAGCGAAAGTATATTAAATTAATTTCCCACCTTGCTATATTTTATCATGCAATTTTTTTTTTTTTTTTTTTTTTGTAATTAACTTATATTTTTAATCACAGGAGCTACCCCCAAGGGAGTATTGAAGCAAATGAAAGTTGAAGGCTTAACCATCTATCATGTAAAAAGTCATCTACAGGTACTTGTTTTTTTTGGCTGATGTATGACATACTTCAAGGGAACGTGGTTTATTTAATGTAGAACATATGTTTGGTTTTGTGTGCAGAAATATCGGACAGCTAGATACAAACCTGAACCTTCATCAGAAGGTAAACTGGGTTTTGTTTTGTCAATGCATGTGGGTTTGTCAGTTTGGCTGTGTGATTCATATGACACTTAGTTATCTGGAAGCATTATTAAGAATCAAGAACAACAAAAAAAGCAACATACTTTAGAGCCAAATATTGCTTCCAAAGCATGATACATTGAAATTGAGATCTTCAGATTTGATCTTACAAACGTATAAAAGACTAATGCTTAGAGGAAAAAGATAAATTAGTTCAAAATTGAAAATTCTATTAAGTTTATTTTCTCTACGATGCTTTCTACATTTTGTTGCTTCTATCTCCTCATTGGTAAAAAGACAAGATATGTATCTCCAGCACTTACGGCTAACAGTGACAATTTTCATCTATTTATATGAAAACAACTCCATTTTTTTCAAGTGTTTACAGCCTCATATATTGTTTTACAAAAAAAAAAAAGGATCAGTTTTCTAATAATAGCTTTTCTATAAATCACCAAATATATTAATCATTACAAAGTTAGTTACAATCTATTACTTAACAGCCCTTTTGCCACCTGTATTTACAGGAGAACATAGTTTGGATATTTTTCATAATAAAAGAAATAGTTATGAATGATATTTAGTGTTAAAATTGATAAATCACTTGTTGCAGGACCTTCAGAGAAAAAGCCTACTTCAATCCAAGATTTACCCTCCTTAGATTTGAAAGCGTAAGTTAGTTATTTTATTTACCTTTTAACTTCACTAAAACTGTGTCTATTGTCAACATATATTGCTATGCATAAACATATAGTCATTGGGTTAGTGTTATACCTAAAACAAGCATTTGTCCATAATTCACTACATATTAATTGGAAAAAAGAATTGCATTTGATGAAAATTGTTAGTTGACTTAATGCTTAAGTTTGTCCTGCTTACGAAATTTAGATAAATGTAGGGATTACTTATACTCATCTGCTATTTTACATAACTAATTTAATTATATGATACTAAAATATATTTAACTTTCAACTCTGTTACCTTTACAACAGGAGTTTGGAGATGACGGAAGCATTACGATTACAGGTGGAAGTTCAAAAAAGGCTACACGAACAACTGGAGGTATAATCATAAATCATTAGTCTTTACAAATTCATTGGTAAAAAAGAAAAGAAAACCTATAGATTATGAGAACATAATAATATGTTTTCTCAGATTCAAAGAAACCTACAGATGAGAATAGAAGAACAAGGGAAATACCTCCAGATGATATTTGAGAAGCAATGCAAGTTCGGCATTGACAACCTCAAATCTTCATCATCCACCCACACCCCCGAGAAATCAGAAACCGAATTATTGACCAATGAGATTTCAAGTTCTCCGGTTTTACCAGAACCCGAACCGGACCCAGTTAAAGTTGGATCACCATCAAGCAAGGTAGAAGTGGACCCCTTGGAATCACAACCTGCAAAACGTGCTAAATTAAACGACTCATCATAAGAGCTGCGACATACTGTAAATATATGTACCATCACTTGCTTTTCGATTGTAAACTTCATTATTAGGTTGCATCTGGACAAACTTTCTAGAGCTATTTAAGATGATGGGATATTGGGATGAGGAGGAGGGCTTTTATGTTGTGGTCTTTTTCCATGTCGATGAGTGGAATTAAAAATTGTAGTTTTTGAACCATTGTTATCAGTCTCAGTGTAATGCATGTCAAATGCAGTATAAGGCTATCATGTTGTTGTGTCTAACGCTAAATTGGCGATATTCTTGTGCAGTTTTGGTGTATTATAGAAGGGAAGGTAGCTAGTTACAATTATTAAGTTTCGTCCTGTAGACACGGTATGTTGGTTGCCAAAACTGCACCATGACAATGTTTAGTTCTATTGTAAATATGTATCGGATTTGCATTTTTTTTGTATTGGCGGTGATAGTTGTCGCTTATCGTTGACGATTATGCGAGTCAGTTGATTTAACAACCGTATATTTAGATATGACAAAAATTCATTTACAATTATCAAAAACAAAATGCAGCAAGGCCAAGGCCATGAAAAATATGTATTTTCTCATGAAAGAAGTGTAAAAAAGTCATGTCACTGTATTATTTGTTTTTTTTAAACACCTACTTTTTTTCAAACAAAATCACTTGTCAACTTTAATTTTTTTTTTTTTGATAATTTTTGTTTAATTTGTCATTATTTATAGTTAATCATATTGGTATATTTAGACTAAACCACCTATGATTGGTCTTGATACCACTAAATGCTATAAATTGTAATCACTTTGGTATACACCCGATATTATGACATGTATTTTGTAGTTTGGTATTGATCAAATATGTAGATATTCATTGTCAAAATGCAAAATGCTAGAAATGGTAATGTATTTTGGAAGCTCCTTGACTATAATGATTTTTGTACCATTTGACATTTGTCTTTTTTTTTTTTAAACTAAAAATATAAATATTTATAATTTATAATTTTAACAAGAATATCAATGTTATGAATATTATGGAACAGAAATGGGACTTATCACCGACGCATGTTGATTTTCCGATACATCATCGGAAAGGCTGGAATGTTGCTATCAGATTTATGGCAAAAGGTGCCTCGGTTTGTGTTATATTTCTTTTTTTTCAGATGCTATGATATTTTCAATTTCTATCCCTTTTTTAGCGGCATTTGGTAGTTGGTCAAGTGCTTTTGGAAAATGAGATGTGAGATGTTTTTATCAGTTTTTTTGCCCCTAGAGTTGAAGTGCTTTCAAAGTATTTAATAAAATGTGTCAATGGTTATTGGTTAGATACAGATATAAGTCGTTTAATTATCATCAAATCATGAGGGATATATCCTTGTGTATTTATATATGTATAAATAATAAAAACAAGTATTGTGAACAAGCCTTTTGGAGACTTTGAATGTAAGATACCTTCAAACGACAATTAAAACTTCTCTTCTAATCAAACCTTAGACACCTCAACCATCAGTTGGTAGGCTTACCCATACACACACACACTCACACATCCCCTTCAAAACCCCCATTATTCTTCACCATCTCATTCAATTCATACACACACACACACATCCTTTGTTTCTTTCTTGGGTACTGCCATGGCTGCCCTCTTTACAGGCTCCCATGGCCACCATGAGCTTCCAGATCCCGATACGCACTCCAACATATGCCGTGTGTGCGGTGACGAGATTGGCCAATTATTTGTTGCTTGTCGCGAATGCAGGTTCCCAGTGTGTCGCCCTTGTTACATTTATGAGCGAAGTGAAGGGAACCAATGTTGCCCTCAATGCAACCTTCGCTATAAGCGTCACAAAGGTATGTAGTGTTTCTAGTTTTTAGCGATGGATGGATTCCATTGCAATATCTGTTGTCTGATTGTCTAGTAGTGTTAATTGGTAATAAATGTGTGGAGTTGTGTTGTTAATAGGTTGTCCACGGGTTGTTGGAGATGATGAAGAAAGTGATGATGGAGATGATTTTGATGATGAGTTTCAGACCAAGGATCATCAAGAAACCCGAGATCATAATCGTGTTGATAAATTATCGGTAATTTAACTTAGTGTTGTTAACATGGAACTAGGTCTTATAAACTTTGACTATCAACAAGTAGAAAAAATGATATTTATAAGTTATATCCCTTTGGATAGCTAAAAAGCATGATTGCAGATGAAGCTCTCTTCATGTTTACGCAGAATCCCGTGATTATAAATCAAAAAGTCTTGTATTTTATCATCAATATGCCAAATGAAACGATTGAAGGAAAACAGTTTAAGTGTTGTATTTTATCAATGGTAAAATGTTCATAAACGAAGCTGATTTTTTATCTTTTTTTTTGTGACATTTTACAGGAAAATGGCGACTCTCATCCTCCAAAACAATACAATACCAACGGCTTTGCTTTCTCCTCTGCCGGAAGCGGTAAAATTTTGTATATGATAATCATCTATATGATATTTTGAGAACTTAATTAATAAAATTCATGCAACCAACTTACTTGTTTTTACCAAATTGTATAAGATATTGGTGACAAATTCATGACTACATAAAAATGCTTAAAATCTACTTCCTTATTTAAGTTGATAAAAAAAGGTAAGTTTTGCACAAGGCATTTATCCTATTTCAATATACACATTTTGGGTCTTGTAGTCAAATCACATGTCCTAAAAACTTCATTTGGTGAATGTTTCACTAGTTTTATGCAATGACTGTTTGATACGTGTGTAGTTGCCGGAAAGGATCTTGATCGTGATCGAGATGATGAATGGAAAGATCGAGTCGAGAAATGGAAAACCCGGCAAGAAAAGAGAGGCCTAGTAACAAAAGCTGACGATGGTAACGATCCCGGTGAAGAAGATGACTATCTGTAAGTGTAACTACTGTATTCTAATCCCTGTTTTTTTTGACATTTTTCTTGTTAAGTCGTTATTCCCGCATTAAGTCAAAAAACCCATATATAGCTTACCAGATTAAGTGTATGCAGAATGGCCGAAGCTCGACAACCCTTATGGCGAAAAGTCCCGATTTCATCAAGCTTAATCAATCCATACCGTATAGTCATCATCTTACGTCTCGTGATCCTCATCTTCTTCTTCCGTTTTCGAATCATGACACCTGCATATGATGCTTACCCTCTATGGCTCATCTCAGTCATATGTGAAATCTGGTTTGCTTTATCATGGATACTCGATCAGTTCCCAAAATGGTTCCCAATCAACCGTGAAACCTACCTGGATCGCCTCTCGTTGCGGTTTGAGCGTGAGGGTGAACCCAGCGGGCTCTTACCGGTTGATTTCTTTGTGAGTTCGGTTGACCCGCTTAAGGAACCACCCATCATCACTGCAAATACGGTTCTATCGATATTGTCTGTTGATTATCCGACTGAGAAAGTGAGTTGTTATGTATCGGATGATGGTGCTTCTATGTTGCTTTTTGATACGTTATCGGAGACTGCAGAGTTTGCCAGAAGATGGGTCCCGTTTGCCAAAAAGTATAGCATTGAGCCTAGGGCGCCGGAGTTTTATTTCTCAGAGAAGATTGATTACTTGAAGGATAAAGTGCAGCCTACCTTCGTTAAGGATCGTAGAGCCATGAAAGTAAGTAGTTGTCATCTAAATTTCTCCAAAATCACAAACGAGAATTTCACTGTAATTTTTTAATATATTCACAGCGAGAATACGAGGAGTTTAAGGTGCGAATCAATGCACTGGTCGCAAAAGCTTTGAAAAAACCAGAAGAAGGCTGGGTGATGCAAGACGGAACGCCATGGCCTGGGAATGATAGTCGTGATCATCCCGGGATGATTCAGGTATAGTAAAATCTTCTTATATCTAAAGTTTGAACTCGATTTTCTCGTTTAATTTCTATCTGAAATGTGTTTGACGGACGATTCACAGGTTTATCTCGGAAACGGAGGTGCGCTTGATGTCGAAGGGAAAGAGTTGCCGAAATTGGTTTACGTTTCTCGTGAAAAGCGACCTGGTTATAATCATCACAAGAAGGCCGGAGCCATGAATGCCCTCGTAAGTCTCAAGTTTCGTAGTTGAAATTTACAAATAGTTAACTGTTTGATCTCGAGAAAAGTGATCAATCTGACGGATTAGGGCTTCATGTTAATACGACTGATTTAGCTTTTTCTGGTTATCAGATTCGAGTTTCTGCTGTGCTTACAAATGCGCCGTTCATGCTGAATCTGGATTGTGATCACTACATCAACAACAGCAAAGCTGTAAGGGAAGCAATGTGCTTCTTAATGGATCCACAGCTCGGAAAGAAGCTCTGTTACGTCCAATTCCCGCAACGATTTGACGGAATTGATCGCCACGATCGATACGCCAATCGCAACGTCGTCTTCTTCGATGTAAGTTTCAATAACCATCAACATTTCTTCAAATAACATTACACTCCAGCGATGGCGAACCATAATAGTGTTGAAACTCCACAGATCAACATGAGAGGACTTGACGGAATACAAGGCCCAGTCTATGTCGGTACAGGATGTGTATTCAACCGCCAGGCATTATACGGGTACGACCCTCCGGTGTCGGAAAAGCGACAGAAGATGACCTGCGATTGCTGGCCTTCGTGGTGCTGCTGCTGTTGCGGTGGTTCGAGGAAGAAGTCAAAGGATAAATCATCAAAAAAGAAAGGGCTGAAAGCTTTATTTGGGTTGGGAAAACTTCGTGGCAAGAAGAAGTATTCGAAGAAATCGTTGGCACCCGTTTATGATCTTGAGGGTATCGAAGAAGGGCTTGAGGGTTACGACGAGTTGGAGAAATCGTCGTTAATGTCACAGAAGAATTTCGAGAAACGATTTGGGCAATCTCCAGTTTTCATCACTACAACTCTAATGGAAACCGGAGGAATTCCTGAAGGAACTAACAGCAATTCTCTGATCAAAGAAGCTATCCATGTCATTAGCTGTGGATATGAAGAGAAGACTGAATGGGGCAAAGAGGTAAAAAAAATCGTTGAGAACCATATGCCCTAATCAACTGTACTAGGTTTGATGTTGTTACCTCTTTTTTTTTTGTGGACAGATCGGATGGATTTACGGATCGGTGACGGAAGATATCTTGACGGGATTCAAGATGCATTGTAGAGGATGGAAATCGGTGTATTGTATGCCGAAGAGGCCGGCGTTCAAGGGGTCTGCGCCGATCAATTTGTCTGATCGGTTGCACCAGGTGCTCCGGTGGGCTCTTGGTTCGGTTGAGATCTTCTTGAGTCGGCATTGCCCGCTGTGGTACGCCTGGGCGGGGAAGCTGAAAACGCTGGAAAGGCTTGCTTACATTAACACCATCGTTTACCCCTTCACTTCCATCCCACTGCTTGCATATTGTACGCTTCCTGCCGTCTGTCTTCTCACCGGAAAGTTCATCATCCCCACGGTAAACCATTTTTTCTCTTGATAAACAAGTGAATCCTAACCGAGGGCATTTTTGTCTTTTAACATCTAAATAAAAAAAAACAAATAAATTCAACCCTCTTTTCTTGTGCAAAACATCCGAATTACTTGAATTTACTGTTTTAACCCTCCACCTTATTCATGACCGGGGTGTTTTGGTCTTTTAACAAATTTCCGAGTTTTTGGAATCGTTTTGCAGCTCAACAATCTTGCAAGTGTATGGTTTCTTGCCCTTTTTCTTTCGATCATAGTGACGGGTGTACTCGAACTCCGGTGGAGTCATGTTAGCATCCAGGATTGGTGGAGGAACGAACAGTTTTGGGTGATCGGTGGTGTCTCTGCACATCTTTTCGCCGTTTTCCAAGGCCTCCTCAAGGTTCTTGGTGGAGTTGATACCAATTTTACAGTCACATCAAAATCAGCCGATGATGCTGAGTTTGGGGAGTTGTACTTATTCAAATGGACGACACTTCTGATACCACCAACGACTCTAATCATCATGAATATGGTCGGAGTTGTGGCTGGAGTATCAGATGCAATCAACAACGGGTATGGATCATGGGGCCCGTTGTTTGGGAAACTGTTTTTCTCGTTTTGGGTTATTGTCCATCTATATCCTTTCCTAAAGGGTTTGATGGGAAGGCAAAACCGGACTCCAACCATTGTCGTTTTATGGTCGATTCTTCTGGCTTCGATCTTCTCCTTGGTTTGGGTTCGGATCGACCCGTTTTTGCCCAAACAAACGGGTCCAATTCTTAAACAATGTGGAGTTGAATGCTAGACCAACCATGGTTACAAGTTTGGTGGAGTGTTTTGAGAAAATATTTTGTAAATTTTGCAAAGATTTGGATACATGAAACACAATATCTCTTTGAATTTGAGTATACATTTATATTGAATATAAATATGTTTTTCTTTTGAAAACTCGGTGTAGCTTGTTTATTGCTTACTGTCCTTTTCTCTAAAAGTGTTTATTAGATTATTTGGTGTTTAAACAAGGTTTAAAAAAATATATTTGCATTAACTTATTTGATATCAAAATGTAATAATAAAAATTTTACAAAGAAAATGTCATCTTATATATTATTGTCTTAAAAGAAAATTACAATAGCAGTAAAAAGCATTTATGTTCCCACTTTTAATGAAAAGTTTTGCATAATAAGAGTGAGTAACTTTGTATTTAAGTGGATAAGTTATCTTGATATTATTTTAACCAAAGACTTCAAATAGTTTATTAGCGATGACAAAACCGTAATAAGTCGATAAATGTTTCAAATTAGAAGTGAGCATTTTGCTGTCCCCAACCGTCCTGGTGTCAAGCGGTCCAGTCTTTTTTGGGATACATATCGGAACAGTTCAGTTTTTTTGGAACCGGAATATAGTACGAAACATTTTCAAAATTTATCCATTTTCTAATTGTGGAGCTTTTTCATATATCATACATGTCTGATGTCATTATGTCAAAATGGCATAACATATTTATTTACACACTCTCTGCAAGTACAAGCACTACAAACACATATCTATACAAAGCACCTCCAAACATGCAGACACACACATACGTTTAATAATAGTATACTTAAACAACGGTAAGCAAATAAATGCATAATTAAACATACCAACGACAGAATTTAGACTCTGACACATTTATCCTTGATGTTTGGGTTGTGGATGAAAAAATTCCTTTTTCCACATCTCTTGCGACTTCTCCTCCCAACTCACCACCCTTTTCTTCCTATTTCCCGCCAAACACAGTCGGGCAATTAGAGGAACAACTCCAGTGTATGCCAACAACATAGAGGACTTAGCATTGGCATCGGCTCTTGTGTTTTCCTGCAACCCACGCTTGTATTTGACAACCACTTGTTTTGGGTGGTTTAACATGATTTGTCGTCTCAGTGTTAGAAGAAACGAATCTCAAATTAGGATCTGTATATATTAACAAGGGATTAGAGGGAAAGGAATGTTAGTTAAACCACTCCATCAGATTAATTTAATCAGAAAAAAGCAGTGGGTTTGGTGCAAAACAAAATAATCATACAAACACATTAAGCACTAGGCCACAAGCTACCTCGCATCTCTATTTTCTTTTAAACTAGGTTAATATCCGTGGACACTATGGTTGAAAAATAAAAATAATATTGAGAATAATATAACATATATAAGGATTATGATATAGACATATCCCCATGAAGCCCTTATATGAAACAGGTTGCAAAGCAATTCTTCCAAGAATATTGGAAATCATCTTCAAAGGTATAGCTTAAAGATAATTGTATTTGACATCATGTTTTATAATCTTATATATGCAAAGCAATTCTTCAAAGAAAATTGGAAATCATCTTCAAAAAGGTGTACCTTAAAGATAGTTGTATTTGACATGGTGTTCTATAATCATATATACAAACGATTCCAATCTTTTAACCTGGAAATGAAAACTCAAATCATTTTATGGTCAATCTCATAAAAACATGAATCGTTCTTGATAATAATAAATATCATGCATACTTTTTCTACATATTATTGTTTTTCTACACGTTAGACGTCAGTTTCATGTCCAAACTATGAGAGTTATCATCTATTTGATCTATAGCTTTTAGTTATCGGCCTAAAAAGATACAGAAAAAAAAAAAAAGCAAACAAAAACTATGAGAGTACCATGCAGTTCAAAAAAAATTATTAACATGAATGACAACAAAATTACCATTTTTTTTAATTATAAAACTTTCAAGCTTTTGATTTGCTATTTTGCCCCCATTCCTCTCACTCTTTGCAAAATTGGGAGGCAAAGTAATTATGTTAGATTGTTCACATTGATACATATCTGGATGAGCATCTTGTAGATAACAAACAATAAACAATTTCCTTGTGTTGCAAGGACTGCCGAACAACCAGAAAAAGAAAAAAGAAAAAGAAAACAGTGGCTAAAAGAGAATGAAGGACTTGATTCCAAAGGAGTCACCAAAAAACGTGGGTTCTTTTCTTCATTAAAAAAGCTAATTATTACCACTATATATACTAACTGAAATAGAAACCTACTCAAAATCTAAAACAATAAAATAAAACTTAAATTTCTAGCTTTCCTAAAATGCCCAATGACTTAATATCTAATTAACCCAACACACCTTCTAGTCTCCACCTAGAGTTTTTGTAACAAATTTATGAGTTTTGAGTTTACATAGTTGCTAGACTCAATATGACATCTCTAAATGCACAAAATGATCAGGTATTTTTTGAGTTTCTTGAAGTTATTTATTATAATTACTATAATAAGGAAAATCTCCAGAAAAATTTAATTATTTTGAAAAAATTAACAATTGAGGTATAATTTTTTTTTGAGAAAAACCCTTTTATTTTTCATGTGTTTTCGAGAAAAGCCTTATTATTATTATTATTTTTGGCTTTGGCCACAAATGGGACATAGAGTTATCACTCTAGCCCTTTTAACGATTTTAATGGTTAACTCCGTTAATTTTATTTTACAAAATCAGTCCTACAAGTTCAAATTTGGTCCCTGTAGTTTGCAAAAATTTACACATGTCCAAAACTCGGTTTTATGTTTTTTTAACTTCTTTATTTTCATTTTTTTTAGTCAAAACTAAATTTGTTTTTATATTTTTATCATTTCTTTATATTTTTAGTGTTTTTTTTAACGTTTTGTTTTTCGTCAGTTTGATAACTTCTTTTGATATTTATCAAAAAGTTTAAAGTGTACGAATATTTTTTATATATTTTGTATTTGTTTCGTATTTTTTTGTTTTCTTTCGTATTTTTGCTACGTTTTGTTTTTCGTTAATTTGATAATTTATTTTGATATTTTTTAGAAAGTGTAAAGTGGATGAATATATTAGAGTATATTACATTTTTGGTGTTTGAGTTTTTTTGTTTTCTAAAAAAACGAAAAAACAATAATAAAGAAAAAACAAAAAAATATATATAAAAAAATATTAAAATATATGAAAAATAAATGAATATAAAAAACAAAAAAAAACAAAAACGAAGAAGTTAAAAAAATAAAAAATATATATAAAAAAAATGAAAAAATAAAAAATAAAAAAATAAAAAATATATATTGAGTTAGGACCGGAGGGTCTAACCTGAGTTGTGGGACCGTATGGTTCCCATTGAGACACATTGACGGAGGGTGTTTATCGATATATAGTCATGAGAGGCTAATGTGATGTGTTTGGTATTTTGAGGAACTCGCTAAGCTTTGTGTCACATCTCAATCGGAACGGTGGAAACATTTGGAGGTGGAGGACGTCATGTATAATATTACAACAATTGCATAACAATAATCAAAGTACAACAACCATGTATTAATAAAGTATAAGTTTTTACATATGTATTCAAATCATTGTATATTGACACCAAAATGTATTGCAAAAGCAAAAGACATGAGTCTATAAAGCTCCGTCTTCTTAAAAATCTATGGATGTACTTGTCTACTGATTTCCTGAGAAAACAAGTAGTTTTGAAAAGAGTGTCAACAGTTAAGTTAGTGAGTCCATAAACATGTTTTCTGATCCTTGATAATGTAAGTATGTTTTTCCCAGAAAATCCTATATTTTCTGTTGTAGTATTGTGTAAGTAAAAACGTGTGAATGTTATTATACTCTGAAGTAGTAAAATGTAATTTAATTCACTTAAAACTATGAAAAATATGTTTTCTTTGTACTGAAGTAGTAATATGTAATTGTACCTGTATGAAAACTAAGTATTTTTAATTGTCTGGTTTTACTAGCTTTACTTGTAAAATATTGTATTATAGTTTTATTATTAAATAAAATTATGTGAAGTTGTTTACTTATTCATACACTAATCATTTTGTTCAATACAAATTGTGAGCTATTATAACCATGCTTGATAACCTAAGATGTGGCCTGAACACGACGTTTTTTAGGCGTCGTATTTGGTACGACATTTGTAACATCCTGTTTGAATTAGAGTAATTAAATAATAAATCCAGAACCCCAAGATGTAAAATTATCATTTATATTATTTTAAATGGTCCTAAAATCCATAATATTGAGTGGGATGTTGGTTTTCGGGAGTCAAATGTTATAATTTGAATTATTCGGGGGTTACAGTGGTATTTTCGGGACTTATCTTGTAAAGATTTTCAGAAATCAGGGGGTGTTTGGTAAGTATTGGACTTATTATGAAATGATTGTGAAGACTGGGGGCTGTTGGGTAAATTACGGATTGTATTTGAAAGAGATTTCAGAAGTCAAGGTATAGATGGTAAATTTTGGATTAAAACTGACAACAATCTTGTGAGGAGGGACCGAAATTGTTATTATGGCAAAAGGTTGAAATGTGACAGGGGTATATAACCCGTCACCCATGCCCTCCACAAACCCTAACCCTAATATTCTATAACAATCGTCGCCCTCACAATGAACCACCTCCACCGCTGCCAACCTTGCATCCCTCATCATCGGTTGCCGCCTAGTCGAGTCGGAGCACCGCCACTACAACCTCGTTGTCGGAGAAGTCGTGAACAGCCGATGAAGAACCGTCGCATGCTGAGGATGAGCTGTAAACCGACGATACGAGACCTTGAACGATCGGAGGTTGTAGTCGTTGCCCGCCTCCGTGAGGAAGACGAAGACCGAGCGAACGCTCTTCTCTGTTGCTGCTACTACTATTGCTCACTTCATTCTTTCTTCTCGGATCTTTGGTGCTTCACGCAGTCACTACCGTCGCCGTCGTTTAGTTCTTTTTCCACTGCTCTGGTATTCCTCTGCCACCCGAGGAGGCTGTTTTGGTGTGTTTCAG